AGAATTTGTTGTTAATGGACTTCTGAAAAGTTCAATTTTCCGTGTTCTGGTTGTGTTTTCTGATGCTAATATTTAGTTGTCCCTAAACTTGGTTGTGTGAGAAGGCACGGCACATCTACCTATACCTCCATCTTGGCAGAAGTCCTGTGTTTTTCTAAAACAATTAAAACGTTAATTTCTCCAAAGGAAGAGATATTAGCATGTATTTTACAAATTATAAGGCAAACCCTTTTTTTGTTAGATTATCTGTTAGGCAATTATTAAAGTGGCTGGTACATAGCAGTTGTTAAAATTTATTTGAGGATCATAAAGTACTCTTTTACTAATTATTTATGTGTTACAGATATAAAGTACTTTTGAGATTTTATAAGTACTGCTACTGTTTCTCAAATAAAGAAGTTCCAAAGCAAGAGTACAGCAAGTTTCTCAACTTTGGCACTTGATATTTTGGACCAGGCAGTTCTTTTTTGTTGGGGCTTACCTGCACATTGTAGGATGTTCAACAACATTCCAGGCCTCTACCCACTAGATGCCAATAGCAACCCACCCAATTAAGACGATCAAAAATATATCCAGATATTGCCAATAATCCCCTGCAGGAAACAAAATCTCTAAGAAAATGTAGCTGTTGTTGAAAATCATTTGGTGCTTTATTATGGGCATTTGGCTTTTCTAGTTGAATAACAGAATTTTAGAATTGTAACACTGCTAAATTTCCTCTAAAGTTTGTAGGGTGATATAAACTAGAAGTGACCTGAAGACTAGATGATCTCTAAGGTCCCTCTTAAACCTTCAAAGGCATTCACATGAGAAATATTAATAACCTCTATCTATTTAAGCCTATCTGCATGCAAGGTATAGTACTGAACACTTCACATTCATTTTATAGTCATGACGTCCTCATGGGATGACTATTAACCCCATTTTGGTAAGAAACAATTTTAAAGTCTTTTAATCAACATACCAAAGTTTTCCCAGAAATAATTATCATTCAATATAGTCATTCTAGCATTTAATTAAGAAAGTACCTTAACTTGCTTCCTTTACAATCAATTTGCCAAAAAAAAAAAATTCAATATAGCTAGCAAAAAAATAAGTTGAATTATTACAATCTTCAGGAATGGAAGAAATGTTCACAGCAGGTAACAAATCAGAGAAATAATAATCAGACTGTTTCTTGAATATTTTTTGCACTTTGGCCTAATTAAAGAGTACTTGAAAATTTTTTCATCCATAAATCCCTGTGTACGTCCAGTAACTATTTTTCCCCTTTGCACAACTTACCAAAAACAATTCACTTCATAGTTATTTGAGAATTTATTCATAATTTTAATCTGCCTTTCAATATAAGTATAAGCCTGGATTCAAATTCCAGCTGATCTACCTACTAGAACTGAAGACAAGTTAACTTGTTCAGACCTCAATTTCAACTATGAAACTTGTATAACAGGACCTATCTGAAGGCCTTAAGAGTTAATAGGCCCTAAATAAAAGTTAATTTCCCCTTCCTTTCATCCTTACAGTAAATTAAATATCAGTTGGTAGCCAATTCTGTTTAAGAATTTGTTGAGAGTCTACCAGCAAGAGCTAAGGGAGGATGTGATGTGGCAGTTAGTCAACATTATACCATATAACTATTTGGAAATCAACACTTACAATCTCCCAAACCCATCATCACAAAAAAATAAGCTGAAGCCTAAGGGACTATTCCCTTAGCTTGAGATTTTATAAGTACTGCTACTGTTTCTCAAATAAAGAAGTATATCCTTAAATGCATTGAATGCATACATAATATTACTTATCTATTGTCTTCTGTTTACTTTTCCTTATGGTAAAAGACACAAGAACCTCACTTGATGTGTTCCTTCCTCTCTCCCTTTACCCACCTAACTGCCAAGAAATTTTTATTCAGATTTCTCTCTAAAAGAAGGAAAATAAATTGGGGCCTCTCTTTTCAGTGCCACAAGATTGTGTATAAGTCATATTTAGGTAATTATCACCCACCCAAGTGTATATTATCTATTTTATGGATTCTGAAAACTAAGTCACTTACGAATGAGTGAAAGTTACTTAATATTACTTTACCCTTAGTAAATATTAGGTAACCAAATGCTTAAAAACAAAATTGGGGGAATTAGATTACATAATCCACTCTTCCCTTACTGGCAAATAAAACATAACTACTATACTGTTAGAATTTTATTAATCAATGAATAAAATTCAACTTAATACAGGTAATCTTTTATTCTATCTTAAAGTTTTTTGTAAAGAGTATTAGAATTATCTCTCTTTTTTTGCATGTTTTATTTATTTTTTAGAGAGAAGAAAAGGAAGGAAGGGAGGTAGAGAAACAACCATGTATGAGAAAAACATCTGTTGGTTCCCTCCAGCACACCCCCAACTGGAGACCTGGCCCCCAAGCCAGACATGTGGCCTGACTAGGAATCGAACAGACCTCTTTTAGTTTGGTTCACAGGCCTGAGCTCAATCCACTAAACCACATGAGCCAGGGATCTGTTTTAAAAGTTTTGATAGGAAAGGACTTGACAAAACTCACCTGCAGGATAAAACCAAGACAAGAGCCCTAAGAACAGATCTATTGCTAATCAAGATTACTATAAAATAAGTAATGAGGTTTCAGGTAAAAAGTTAGTAACATAAAAGTATGTCAATATAACTTAACTCACAATCTAGCAATGTAAAAATAAAAGTTCGTTAAGATCTTCCTGTTTAGTTTTTTTTTCTTGTAATATTTAGGAGGCAGTGGAGTTTTTAAAAATACAGTCAGCTTCATTTGTTTGTTGACAACTTCCTTTGTTGTAATTTACTGTCACTGTTCAGACACTGTATTTCACAGGCTAAATTTATTCATCTATTCTTAAAATTGATTTGAAGAAATATAATAAGCATAGTTAAATGTTCTCCAAAAACATTCTGGCCCTTGAATAAAATTTCAATGCAATTTCAGCAATTAAAGGGTTATCTGATCAAGTAAATTAAAGTTCAGAACGGTAGCCAAAATCAAGTTGCTCATTAATGATAACAAGACCAAAACACAGGGAAAAAAGAGACTTTCAACCTATGAATATATGTATTTAAAAAAATCAATTATAATATGATTTTCAGAAGTTTAGAATTCCTAGATACAAAGTCTACAGACAACATGGTTTCTAGATGTAAAACATATACTTATAAAACAAGTACTATAAAGTCGTTGAACCTCTAAACCCAATAACAAAAATAAGTAAATAAATACACAAACAAACGAACAAAAATACATTTTCAAGAAAGTCACCAAATAGAGGGCAATGTGGCCCTGAACTGGTGTAGCTCCCTTGGTTGGGAGTAGTACTGTGAAGAGAAAGGTTTCTTCTGGTTAGATTCCCGGATAGGGCAAATTCCTGGGTTACTGGTTTTCTCCCTGGAGGGACCTGACAAAGATGCACCTATCCTTGTTTCTCTCACACATGATGTTTCCCTCCTTCTCTTTCTCTCTCCCTTCACCTCTCTATAAGTAAGTAAATAAACAAATAAATAAGAGACCATTGTGAAACAAAAACGACACAACCTTTATACCAAGACAATTTTCACCTTCAAGCAAACTTATCTGTGGTGGGGAAGGAGGAATGAAATACAAATCAAAAGATAATTTAAAGTGTTAAAATTTTACCTGAAAATTTCAACTCCATCATTTTCCTTGCAATGCGTGAGAAGGCGTAAAATCAATTTCAGCAAACATGATGCTTACTTCTGTTAACTTTATTTCCTACATGTTACCCAATGAAAGAGCTAACTTTACATAATATGTAAACAATCCAAACCCTTCACATATTCATTCATTTAATTACTATCCCCATTTGATAGAAAAAGAAACTAAGGTACAGAGAGATTAACTAATTTGTCCAAGGTAACAACTAGGAAGTGGTGGAACCATGATTTAAACCCCTATACACATGCGAAATAATAAACAAAATTTTTTAAACAAAGGAACGGGGTGAGAAAAAGTAAAACTTTTTTCCAAACAGTTTGCAAAACAAGACTATTGTGAATGAGAACAAAATATTTAAACTATAAATATATGTGGATGTAAACGTAGACTACACAACTTTTTACCCCTAAACAAGTATTTTGGTGCTATAATATTTGATGATGGTCAAACATTTTAACCTACAATAAACTGTAGTGACGGTCGACCAAGTAAACAATTGGTTCTTACGGTTCAGACATTGAATTTTATAGACTAAATAAATGCATTGTAATTTAAAGAGCCGGGGGACGGGCATAGTGATGTAACGGGAGCAATAGCTTAAGGAAAATTACTCTATTATCAGTTAATTAGAAAATAGAGTGAGTGTGTCGAGGAAAGGGGTAAGAAAAGATGACAATCACATTGTCTTAACCCTACCTACTAAAAAAGTAACTAAATCACCGTGGGTCAGCGCTTAAACCAACAGACCTAGCCCAGTGCAGTCTCCAGAGGGGATGACAGGAGACCCTACCACAGGGGGGAGGGGTGGCGATGACAGGAAAGCGAGCAGTAAAGAGATGGCAGGTCTCGGATCTCCGAAAAAGGGGAGACTGAAGGGGGCAAGGGGCGGAGAAGAGAAGACAGGAAATGTTGCCAGAGTATCCAAATGAAGTGGGAAGTAACAGGGTAGGAAACACAAGAAGGCGGGACCCTCAGGCAGAAAGGGGTCGTTTTGGGGAAAGGGAGGCATGTCAGTATTACGGAGCCTTCCTGCCAGCTGACCCTCCTTCTCTAGCCCCTCTAACACGGCAAACTCTTTCTCGGCAACCCTAAATCCGCGGGTCATCCTCCTCCCTCTCCTGCCCCCCACTCCAAGCCAGATACGTAGCAGAGGGAGCTTCACCCTCACTCTCCCTGTTGAGCTGGTACGGTGAGCGCAGAACACAGCCCCGATTCGAGGACGAGAAAGCCAGGAGACGCAGGGAGGCCCAGAACCCGAGTGACAAGTCCGAGCGGCCAACAGACGCCTCACCTGACAGAAGCGTCGGCAGTAATCCCGACTGCTGATCCCCACGACGCCGCCACCGCAGCTGCTGCCGCCTGTGCCGCCAGTACCGCCGCCTGCAACTCGAAGCCCCGCGGGGCCTGGCGGGGACTCCACAATAGCCACGAGCTCTTCTCCGAGGCGTTCGGCCTCTTGGTCGCTCTCTTCCTCCGCCATGAGGCTCACACAGCCCAGCGCGTACCAGCCTCTGCGCCGCCGCCACCGCCGCCGCCTCGGCTAACCCCCTCCTCTAGTTCCCTCCCCCTTCCTTCAGCCCCAAGCGGACTGGGGCCTCTCGTCAACCTCTACTTCCGGCTCCGCCCACCCACGCCCCCAGTTTTCATTGAAGAAACACAGCCGCCAATCATACATACGCCCGCCTTTCCACTAGTATTGGTCAAAGTAACCGCCAGTTTGATAGACCCGCTGTCCATTGGTCACTGCTTGTCGGCGGTTGCTGGGGGCCGCCTACGAGCTTTGCCACAGGCGGCGCAGGACGACGGGGCGCGGTGGGGGACAGGGCGGCCGCCGCGCAGCTCGACCAAGCAACAGCGGCGGCGGTAGCGGCGACGAGTCTTCCTTTTTCCCTTAACCCCTAGCTCCTTTTCCTCTTCTTCTTCCTTTCCTTTCCTTTCCGACGGGACTTCGTTGACTTCCTTTACCTGCCGCCCCGATCCTACGGTAACGAGAAGCTTGGGAAGCCGAGGGTGGGCCCGGCCGTTGGTACAGGCTTTGGGCCCGGGGCCTGCCTTCGGAAGCGAGAGCCGGGGGCGGATCCCGGGCGTAGTTGTCGGCGGGAGGAAGAGGGAGGAGACGGGAAGCCTGTCAGTGGTCGCCTCCGTCAGGCGCAAACCGCCTCCTCCCCTGAGACGGCCGCCAACTCTGCTGCCGGGCCCACGGCAGGCAACTGGGATTCGGCCCTATCCAGTTAGCAGGACAGGGGCGGTGGGTCGCCGGCGTGCCAGGGTTTGCGCGGGAGGAGGGAGTCGAGGGCGCGGGAGGAGGTGCAAAAACGGCCAGACCACTGGGAAGGGAGTGGGTGGAGGAGTATTGGGGTAAATATTGGGATCTGGGCTTGTTGTGTAGAGCTTCCTAAGGGGAGATGTTTTGAAGACACCTGTGAAGTGGCAGTTGTTGATGTTAACATTCAATTCACTCGTCTTACCCCCATTTTTTCTTTCCATTTGTTTTCGTGTTTTACAGTGAAGGCATGACTTCCCAGTATCGCAGGGAAAACAGGGTGCAAGCCCAGAAACTATTTCCTCATCACCACTTGTTGAAAAACTGATTTGAAAGAGTCTCAGGTTTGAACAAACCGAAAGTGCCACGATTTCGTGCATCTCTGGTATTGCGCTGGAGACCCTTTACTACTAAATATCCAGACGAAAGAAAAAACTGGAAACCAATCCGGTAAACATTCAAAACTTGAAAACTTCTAATGACTTTTATTTTGCTCTAGTAAGTGATTTGCTGCTTCTCTTTTGTTGGCTAATTGCTGCTCTTTTTAACTTCCGCCTTTAAAATAGCTTTACTTCTTTTTGAAAACACTTTTGTTCTTCAGGTCCGTAAACTCGAACTTCCTCTACTGGGTGGGTGTTTGCCTCTGCAGTAACACACAAACAGACTTAAAGTTGCAAGACATTGCAATAAGCCTTTCACATCATCACAAGTGATTGAGCATTTCATGCTTCAGAGAATGACAAACATGTTTTTAAAATTTGAAATTAAATTAAAGACAGAAGACTTTTCAGAGATTTAGGCATTACTGGACACAAGTATTTAATGTTTTTCCAATACGTTATAGGAATGTAAAATACAAACCATTAGCATAAAGTACCAACTAGTTATTAGGCAGGAATCTTACCTATCTACATTATCTGCCATCGAAACCCTATAGCCAAAGACCGTAATTGCCACATGAAAGTAGAGCATTAAACAGATTTTTAATTGGCAAAAATAGAATTAAACCTATTAAAACCTAAGTTTTTATCATATTTGACAGATTTTCCGTGAAATATTCAGTCCTCTGAGTTGTGTCCATAGGTGTCTAACACATTGGCAAGTTATAGTTCTTTTAAGAGAGATTTCATGTTCCTCACCTCTGAACTCAGTAGTATGAATTAACACCATTGTTTCTGATTATACTTATAAGGCATAATTCTTCAGAACATACTTAAGAATTTGTCTTTATCATATTTATACAGAACAGAGTTCCATCTTGAATTCTGTGGAATTCATTTTTTTAAGGTTTATTTCATTTTCATTCAAAGGAGAGGGAAAGGGGAGAGAGAGACAGAAACATCCATGTGGGAAACATCAACCAGTTGTCTCCTGAACATGCCCCAACTGGGGCTTGAACCCACAACCTAGGCATGTTCTCTGACCAGGAATCAAACCAACAACCTTGTGATTACAGTGTGGCTCCAACCACTGAGCACACTGACCAGGCTCAAATTCATTTTCATTTCTTGTATCTAGGGCCCCAGGGAACAAATGGTCATCACCAAGGACATTTGTTCAGTATCTTGAGTTACCAGCACCCATGATTTTGGCATTGATCATAAAAATTTGTTATTAGGATAAATTTAGAAATTATTAAGCTGCTTCTGAGTTAAATATTTGGGAAAATTGGGAAGGTATTTTACTTATTTCATCAACAAATTGTACTTGAACATCCATTATATGCTAGGTGCTATGTTAATAAGTTCTTAGTTTTGATCTAACTTATTAGTTATTAATGAAATAAATATTAACAAATATAAGTATTTTTAATGAAAACAAGGAAAAAGGTGTTAGGAAAAGCATTTTGTATATGTCTTGATCACCTTTGAAAGCTTAGTAGAGGTATATTTGCATTAAAAATGACTTATTCTGAACTCTATTTTGACTTTAAATTTTAATGATGTTTCTGATGTTGACTGTGTTTGTTCTGTCTTTTTTTGCTTTTTTACTTTTTTCTCTGAGCTGTTTTGGAAATTTATATTTTATCTTCATACAGAAATATGTGAGTTAGTTACCCACCTGTTTGAACAAGCTTTGTTCATAATTAGCTATAGTTGTGTTCCTGAAATGGGTTGCCTTAGAACTGTAAAGAAAAAGCAGCTCTTTTAAACATCTAAATGGGATGAAATTAGTGTAATACCCTAAATATAACCTGATTCGATTTTCCTAAAAGACAGTGGCATCTAAGATAGTTGCAGTTCTTTGTTAATAGTTTCAATTTATTTGAATGTCATCAAAATCAAGGAATGCATGTAGTTGTTACTAGTAATGGACACACAATCAATTAATTTAAAATTAGTTTTCTGAAATCTTTAATCTTAAAAATGTTTGTACTTTTTATTGTTAATTGCTTCCCAAATCAACTGTTGCTGTAACACTTATATTTTCTCTTATCTTGAAAGAACCTTATTCAAAGTCAGAATGGAAAGATTTGTAGTGACCGCACCGCCTGCTCGAAACCGTTCTAAGACTGCTTTGTATGTGACTCCTCTGGATCGAGTCACTGAATTTGGAGGTGAGCTGCATGAAGATGGAGGAAAACTCTTCTGCACTTCTTGCAATGTGGTTCTGAATCATGTTCGCAAGTCTGCTATTAGTGACCACCTCAAGTCAAAGACTCATACCAAGAGGAAGGCAGAATTTGAAGAGCAGAATGTGAGAAAGAAGCAAAGGCCTCTGACTGCATCCCTTCAATGCAACAGTACTGCGCAAACAGAGAAAGTCAGTGTTATCCAGGACTTTGTGAAAATGTGCCTGGAAGCCAACATCCCACTTGAGAAGGCTGACCACCCAGCCGTCCGTGCTTTCCTGTCTCGCCATGTGAAGAATGGAGGCTCCATACCTAAATCAGACCAGCTGAGGAGAGCATATCTACCCGATGGATATGAGAATGAGAATCAGCTCCTCAACTCACAAGATTGTTGACCAGGAGGTTACCACCATTGTGATCAAGATAAATAATGTGGAGTATTAAGGTTATGTGTTAATTGTATGGTTAATTTTTATATTTATTTCATTTAAAATCATGTGATGCAGAATAGTTTGTCAATGTGTATATAGTTGCAGGCAAAAAAAAAAAAACTCGCCATTATACTTACTGTTACTTTTAGTCACCAGTGGTATAAAGCAAAACTTAGGGTTTAGAGTGTGCTAGAGTACCTTAAACCTGATGGTTACCTTCAAAATTGAAGGTTTTTCTCCTAAAATGTTTGTGCATGGAAGAGGTGCCGTGCTCTTTTACCTTATTGTCATGTATGATTATTCCTTCTGAGATTACTTAATTACTTGGATTGAAGACTAGCCTAGGAAATTGAAGCTGCTGCCAGGCAACACTACTCACGGAAACTTAAAGGAATTATTTCTGATTAGAGGATCCTCCTCAAAATGGAAGGGATGGTGGACAACTGTTGTAGTATATTCAGATCCCTAGCAGAAAATGACTGTTTATTTCAAACTGTGCTTTTCTTGTGTACGATGTAGTTACCTTAACTATCCTTTTCTCCCATTTTAAAGACTTACTGTTATATTTAGTAGCAGCTTCAAGTGACCAAAAGACTAAAATCTTTTCATGTCAATGTCAAAAGCCATCAGGAATTTTGCAGTGGCATGATTTTAGTCTTACTATGAACACAAATTTTTGAACTATAACTTTTGTTTCAATATCATTTTGAGTTTGTAAGCTTTTTTTTTTATGTCTTCATGTTAAAAGACTTCAGAATTGTCATTTTAATTTAAACAGGTAGACATTGTATGACAGTTTTCTGTTTTTACAGAAAATTAGTAATTTTTTGGCTGACAGATCAGAAAACAAGGAAGTTACTTTCTATTCATTAAGTTTTCCACATGGTTTCTATAAGAGTTTATTTAAGATAAGCAAACTAGAAGCAAGTTTACTTTTGCTTTTATGTGCTTTGCCGCTGGTGGTACAAGGTTTTTAATGGATAGTAAACAATTGTCTAAAAATACTGGCAAGATTTTTGTAGGGGAGTTCTGGCAGTATCCTGCAAAACCGTTTGGATAAGAAACGAATCAGTTCCGTTAGAGGCCAGCCATGTTTAGGAAATGATCTCTGTCTAAGCCTCACTATTTAAGGTTATCAGAGACCTAAGTATATGTTTTTAAAAACTAACAGCTGAAACATGGAGTAGAGCTTTAAAAAGAAAAGTTATTTGAAAGCATTCAAGTTAATATACTTAGAAAATCTATTTCACTACAAAGCACTGACAGACAATGCCCTATGTAACAGCTGGAGTTATCTTTATTTCATCACAAATCTTAATTTTTTAAAAAAGCCAAAATGAGTAAGAACAAGGTTAGACTTTATATTTTTCAGTAACAGTTTTCCACGTCTAAATTTCTTTTACAGACGTAATTAAGTTCCTAGCAGATTGTCAGACTCCCTATCTGAT